GGAATGACACTGTCAACGAGTAGATTCTCTGTTATCCTTATATGATATGATTTTGGTTGATAGGAATTCTTCTTGTGCATCGATTAATATGTGATATTAAAGTATTGTTATATTTTATTATTTTGTGCGGTGCGACAAAGGTACCGCTGGTATTTTATGGTTTTGTTTTGACAAAACGTCTTGATCGGAGAATTATCGAAGGGGTCTTGAATTATATAATATATATCAGTGGCGGCTCGTGGTGTTCAAAGTAGGTGGCGTGCAATTATTGCAAAAGTTTGTTTTAAAAAAAAATTAATCTGTTTTAAGTGTAAATGTAATAAGTTAAATATTTATTAGCATTAATAATAATAATAATAATAATTAGTATATTTTATATTTTGTTTATCGCGTGCGACCGCCTGACGAGTGTGCAGCTGTAGCTGCACACCAAAGTCACATATAATTGCCGATTCCCCCACTCGACAACCAAACGTATTTTACACGGACAGACGGTGTTCAGACTGAGCTGCACACCAGTTGATGAGTATTTATTGCATAACTCGATTACATTTTAGGAGTATAATAATAAATATAGTCGTTTGTTTGTTTTTAAAATTTAATTTTTTTACATAATAAATACAGTTTAACAGAATATATTGTATTAAAATTTATTTATTATTAGGTATACATTTTTATTATACATTTTCACTATTATATCTAATTAATCTATGTGGTGTGCGCACACCTGCACACCTAGGCACGAGCCGCCACTGATATATATATATTTATATATACACGTACCTATGTATGTACGTATATAATATATATATTATATATACGAAAGAATGCGTTCATGATTTTATAATATACGGTGTTTACTGGCGCCGCTAATATTTGTTTGTGTTGTCTCCACTAAACGTCTGGGGGTCTATTCTCGAAAAGAGCGACCAAACGTATATGTTACTACTCGTACACGAGCAGTTCGTTATCTTTGCTAGTCTAAGTTCATTATCTCGTATTCTCGAACATCATACGAGTAACGTAAACGACCGATTCGTATACGAATAACTCGAACTTAGGAAATATTAAAAATGTAGTTGATAACTCTGTAAAATGTCTGTCTTATCACAGTTTTGGCGGGCTTTTAAAAAAAATGTTATGTTATCACAGTCGGTCGGCGTAGAAATGACTAATGATAATAGATAAATATTTATTTAAATAGCTTTAATAATAACTAATAATATTGATTAATGATTTGTGCATAGGTAGTAGGTATTAAGTTTTGTTTTGTTTTCTAATAAACATAATATGATATTTCCGTCTTTATAGTTTTTTTTTTTGCATTCGTCCTTTTGTCCATGACAAATTAAGTAAATAAATTTAATTTGTCATGACTCATAATTTATTCACAATTAAATTAAAAAGTTGTAGTTTTTTAAATTGTTAATAAGTTTTAAAAATGGAGTCAAAAAAATGCAGAAAACCGAATTCTACCGAAAAACAAAAAAATATGTTGGTAGATTTTATAGTTTTTCATCCTGAGCTTGTGTCTGGGAAAAATACTATAAAATCTTCAGTAAAACAGAGACAAAAACTATGGGAAAATATAGCGAATATGTTAAACAGTGAGGTTGGACCACATAAATCGTGGAACGAATGGAGAAAGGTAAATATTTATAATAGAAAATATATATAATTGTAATTTATTTTTATTGGAGTTTGGATTTAAAAGTAATATTAAAAATAAAAAAAGCATTTTAAATGTAAAATTACTGAGAAATTTTAATATTTACATCTCAAATGCATCAACTTGATTCACTTCTCTATCAAAAAATCAGAGCATTTATACTCTCCCAAAAAATGATGATGGGTAGAAAAAACACATATCATTATAATTGTATTTTAACAATTAGGTATTGATATGTACCTTAAACATAAAAAAATTGTTGTAATAGATTGATAAATTAACACAAAATATAATAAAAGAGTAAACATAATGTTAACCCATTAACATAGAAATTAAATCAATCACATTTTTTTTATGAATTACCTTCATATGCAAACCCTACTTATTAACCATCAATTGTATTGTTTATACTAATACATATTACTTATGTACCAATGTTTTAACCTGATATATATTTTTCAGACATGGTGTGATTTAAAAACAAATACAAAAGGGAAAGCTGGCATTATAAGGAAAGAACAAAATAAGACAGGTGGTGGTGAAGTTGATTATAGTGAGCTTAATGAGCTAGAGAAAAAAATATTTGATGTGTTGGGTCCTACTGTCGTGGAAGGACATAATTCAGTTTCTGAAAGTCCAGTTAATATGAATTTTTTTAGAAATAACGTTCTGTAAGTTTTATTTTAACAGTGTTGTAAGATACTAGAGTAAAAGTAACTGTATCTGTACTTGAATACTTTTAAAACATATTTTTTACAAAACTATGTTTTAAACATTGTTAAGGTTAACTTGTAGTATTAAATAGTATTTTCACCTATATTCGCTATTAGTAAGTATCATAGAAAAAAAATGAGTAAGTATTGTAAAAGTTTGTCTTAAATATAATGTAGGTAATTGTCTAAACTGAAATTATTTTTCTAACAAATGTAATTTGTTTATAATAGGTATATATAACTATAAAATATATAATATTATATGGTTTTTGTTACTTGTTTGTATTGAAATAATAACAATTATAGTATAACATTTATTTTAAATTTGGTTGTATAAAGGATGTAACAAGAAGAACAAAGACCTGACAAAAAATAAATTGTTACTTAAACGTACGACAAAAATTGTGAAAATTATATGGTTAGTAAATAATTTAAGAAATGTACTTGTCAAGAAATTCCCAAAAATAAAATGTTGAGAATAGTTATGACATTCTAAATTAATTTAATAAAAAAAATATTGATATTTAAAAAAAATTCTAAAAAATATTCTACTTGACTTAGACAAATGTTTTTACCTTCAAAATTGTTCTTATAATCAGATTTACAAATTTGGTTATTTTGAATTGTCTAGTATTAAAAAATATAAATAATTTTATGTGTGCGCAAGTGACTATAAATTATATAGAAAATTTTTTTTTTTGAAATATTGGTTAGAACAAAAGTTATTTCATCTGTCATGTCTTGGTGTTACATCCTGTATACTATACAAATATTAATTAACGTTGATTTATTATTCATATTAGCAGTAGGCCCGTTGATATTAATATTAAATATTCTTTGAGTAGTTTAGGTAAGTAAACTGGGTATATACTATATACTATGTCCATTGATCATATTTATCCTTTAGATTGTCTGAAAATACAAATGACAATATGGAGTATGGAGTAGATGTAGATGACACTATGACAGTAACCAACAAGTACATTCAAATGATTTGGTTGGTGGAGATAATGTCGAAGAATTGTTGACTAAGTAAGTTTGTTATTTAAATTAACTTTTTGGTAAATTAATATTATAAGTAGTAACTATAAATGTAATGTTTTTAGCTCATAATACTATCTTTTGAATTTACATTTAGCTGTTTCAGTGGTCTTGAAGAAATCATTGAAACTGATATGCCAGATAATAATTGTTTTTCATCCGTCCAGTTACCCGAGTCACCAATAAGGTATGTTCTTTATGATGAATAAATAATAATATATTAATTTTATAATATTAAGATAGTGTTTACAAATATAGAGCATACCAAATTTGCATTCAACAAAACAAATTGTGTGTTATATTAGAGTGAATGGATCTATTGTCTATCTATATTATATCTTAATTATAACTGTTATTAGGAGCAACTCCAAAAATAATGTTGGAAAAAAGAAAAATACGCTTTCCCATACAGTGGAAGCATCGCGTTCCTTAGTTTCAATTAGTTCTGAAAGAACAAAACTGAAAGCTAATTATTATAAGCAAAAACTATTACTTTTGGAAAGGCAAACTGTGGCCAAAGAAAAAAAGGCAAATGCCATGGCATTGATAGCTAAAACTATTGCAGCTAAGTATAAAACATAAATGCTTATACATAATTGTTTGTTGATTAAATGTTGCATGTTGCATGTTGCATGTTATTGTATTAATGTTATATTCAATATAAAGTGTATATGAATAATTAACAAAAGCGGGTCAGTGGATGTCGCTCTGCTGTACTGTAGGTTACTAGTGGGTCAATGTATAATGGTTTGTATTAAACTTTAATTCAATGATATAATAACATTGTATAAGAAAAACTGTTCTGAGCGGAGATGGTGTGTCAGTCTGGATTGTTTGTATATTTTTATTATTCATTATAGCCTAGTAAATTTATTTAATATTATTATATAATTTTTTTTTTATCCTAAGCTATGGTGATAAACAAATCGTTAAAAATTAAAATCCCATTTTTAGCAGTTTTTCGTAATTTTTTGGTAGTTTTTCCCGTGGAATTAATTAACTATTGAGAAAATCGAAAAATTACCTCTCTAAAGTACCATCTTGATCCAATTTTCAAAAAAGATAAGGTAATATTCAACATAATATGTTGAAATCAAAGCATTCCTTCTGGTAGAAATTTTGTATACAGGATAAAAAAAAAAATAAACACCATTGTAAAAGCACTAGCTTTCTCGCTCCGCTCAGAATCTAAAACAAATTCAGTTATATTGGGTGAATTTCTTGGAAGGATGTATTATTTGTGTTGTGATTTAGGTTTTAAACTTTAAAATTTCAATTTATTATTTAAGTTGTTCTTTGATTTTTTTAACTATAAAGACAACAACAGTGGCGGATCCAGGGGATCGGCCACTGGACAACAAGTTGAAAACTTTTGTGTTTGCTAATGCTTTATTACATATTAAATATATTGGTGAATGAATATTATTTTAAATTATCAACTGCCTGGGTTCTAAAACTAATAATAATTAACATATAACTATAAATGCTTTTTACTTCAATGTTGGTTTATTGTAATAATGTTAAATTTTTTTATATTTTAATTTTAAAATTATCATTGAAAAAAAAAGAATGTTCTATCAAGTAAAATATGATCTAATCAAAAGTTGTTGTACTCTTCGACCTGCAGCAAGTTGAGGATTAACTGTAGGATTTAATTCAGGAACAAGGACACCATATATACCAAAATCAATGTCTAGAGGATCATCTGGTTCTCTCTCAGGAACGGGCAAGTTTGCATTGATACAGATATTATGAAGAATACAACATGACACTATGATTTTTGAAGCTCGTTCTGGATTATAGTGCAAAACTCTGTGTTTTAATAAACATCTAATAAAAACATTTTTAATATTTAACAATTCTAATAAATGGTAAATTTTTTTATTTTAGTTTCATTTTTAATACCTAAATCTCATTTTTAAGATCCCATTACATCTTTCAATGGTCGACCGTGTACTAGTCAACCACTTATTAAACAAGGAATCAGGTGTATCAGGAATAGGATCACTTAATGGTGTTAGGAGCCAAGGTCTAAGTGGGTATCCTGAATCACCTAATAACAAGAATAATATGATTAAAAGATCCAACATTATTTTCTGTTTACAAAATATTTATGAACTACAGTTATTGTTTAAGATTTATAATTTGTAAACATAAAAATTATCATTCCTACCTAATAAAAAATATGAAGTATGTCCATTGTCATGCAAGTTTTCCATGTAAGTGGATATCATACTTTTCCGCCATATAAATGAATCATTAGTGCTACCAGGATATTTAGCATTAACATTCATTATTCTTGCATCAGAGTCACAAATCTTTAGTCAATAACAGAGCAATGCTGTGATGTATTAAAATTAAAATTACCAATGGTTTTTTTTCTGTAGGTAATATTGAACTAATAATCTATTACTAATCTCATCAATTAAACTCAATTTTAAAGTTCTAGGTACCACTATGGTTCTACACTTCTACTCATACTCACTAAAAAGTGCAATGACATACAACTAAATTATACTACCTATGGAATGTTCCTTAATAACTTACTAATTGTTTATTAATGCTGTGGTAACCCTTGCGATTCACATAAATGTGTTCAGGGTATAATCCTTCTGAAGGAGGTGGAAATATGGCAATATGGGTACAGTCTATAGTCCCTATGACTCCTGGCACTCCCTTTTTATCAAGAAATCTGTTCATGTTTAGAACAAATACAGCAATTTGAAAATCATAATAGGTTAAATTTATGTAAAAATATATATTTTAGATTTTAGATTTTAGGTATGAGTAAAAAAATGTGTTTACCCTCTACGTACTGCATTTAATTTTTCAAAACTATCGGGAAAGCTTATATAACGTTAATGCACTAAACCAACAATTTATAAATTCCAATCAAAAGTTAAATCCCGAACAGTAAAATAATAGATTTTATTTTGTACAGATTACCATACAGATGTGCCATTACACAGAATTTATATAAAAAAAAAAACATACATTATGCTTATTGTACTTTGTTTTAGTATAGATTGTATAATTTTCTCGATTAAAAGTAAAAAAAAAAATAATTTTAAGTTTTTACTTTACTAAATGATAGTAACACATTTTTTATTTCATAATATTTAAAATCTCAATATTTTTTTGATAATTTCAATCAAATTTCCAACGAGTATTTAACCATAGTTATAACTTAGAAATGTTAAAAGTTCAGACTAGCAGAATGGGGTGTCACAGGTACCCTGCAAAATAATAGTCCAATGATCCACTCTTTTAAACTTTAAATACTTACAAAGTCATAAGTAATTAATAATAAACTACTTATTTAACATTTTTTTGAAATTATCAGATAAATAATGTGCTTTAGGGTCTAAAATCCAAAATGTATTATTTTTGAAAACTTATACTTTGAATAATATCGCCTTACAATATAATTTATAAATTAATTAATATTCATATCTAAAAAATGTTACCAATTCGACTAATTTATCGAATTTTGCTTGAATTTAGACAGATACTTACCAACACATTTTATCAGGAGATTCCAGAACTCTAATAATTACAATTTATATAGTAACCACGTTTCGAATCCGATGCTGAGTGCGACATCTCTACCTTTAAAACTCATCGTACAGAATTTGTTTTTAAAGTTTCCCTGCAGAAAATTGTAAAACACCTGAAAAGTCATGAGAAAAAAAATAACTTTAACTTACGGCAATCTTTTCACGGTTTTTTATGCTGCAATTATTATGCTACAAAAAAACTCGAGAATTTGAGCGGTTTTAAATTTTTGCCTGTTATTGATAATTATCTACACGTTTATCAATTGTTCGCTGGTGGCGAATAATTTAAATATCTCACAGCCGCTAAGCAGCATATTCGATCAGCACGCTATGCACATCATAATCGTAATATTATATAAATCTCATACCTACAATGATGGTACTCAAATTCGACGCGTGCTAGCGCTGAGTAGTGTAATGATCGTTTAATAATATAATATATTATTAAATGTTATCGCTGGGTATACTATGACGAGTCGCCGACGGCGATGGCGGATAAACGAATATGCGTGTTAATAATTTAATAATACGATAATACAAACTGCAATCACGGTGTAAATAAATCATATTATTATACCGCAGTGTCACATTGTCGGGGCACATCTATCCGATCGAAAGAGCTGTACTACGACATAGCCTTTTTTTTCTACAACGAATACCGAAGGTTAGAACGACAAAGTAACAACAAAGTAGCGTTATTTAGTAAAGAAAAGTTTAAGAAGAGTATTATTACACTTTTATGATTCCCAAATCGTACGCTCCCTTATCTTCTTCAACCGAATGTTACGATTTGTTTTCTTTTACGCGGATCCCTCACAGTGTGTCTGCGGATTTCCATAAACGACGACCGTCCCTCTTATGCTAAATCGACAATATACGGCCTAAACTGCAAGAACGATATATTATATCTACATGTACAGTGAAACCTCCCCAAACGAACACTTCCAAATAGCGAACGATTCTTTTTGGGAACAAACTAAATATTCTAAATAGCAGACACCTCCGAATAACGGAAAAAGAGCAACGACCGAGTTTCCGGTATTTAGAGATTTCACTGCAGAACCATCGGTGTTGAGCCAGACATGGGTACTTTTTAAAAGTACGTAATGCAATTAACAAAGTTAGAAAATTACTTTTTGATTACAATGTTATATTATTTATTATTATAATTTAATGATAAATTAGGTAAATCTGTTACTTTTTTCAATGGAAGTAGTGCGTGTTACGAGACACGTAATTTTGCTCTACCCATTTAAATTTAACATTACCTGTACAATTAAAATTTAATCACTTATGGTTTATTTTAGAAAACACATTTTTTCAAAATATTCGCCGGGATAAGGTTTTATATCAAACTTAAAACTATAATTATTATTATTACCATGCATATATTTTATAGATTATATATTCTATAGATAATATATTTTAGTATTTTACACAATGACGTATAGGTATATTCGTGTATATTTTATGTTCAATCGAAGTATCGACACACAATTATTCATATCACATTTTTAAATTATGAAATTTGCCACTTTAAATAATGGAAATCGAGTTTGCTATTTAAATTATAGGTTTAAGTGTATACCTCTACCTTGTCATTGAGTTGTAGATCAATCAATCACTGTAATAGACGTGTACAATTTTAATTCGATGATTGATCGTCAAATACGAAAAACAATTCTGAGTTTATATAAAATAATGACGTACAAAAAAAAATGGTGTAAAATTTCAAGTTTCTACGATTTTATATTTTTGAATTACAGTAAAACAACTAACATTTTAGTCATTTAATTCATTTAATTTCCATCAATTTTTTTTTTTATAAAAACGTAATTACTTAGGTGTATACATATATTTTTTCGATATTTTTCAACTATAATTGTAAGAACAAATTATGAAAAACTTTGTACTTATTACGTTTACAGGCTATCTGGCCAAGAAGAAAAATGTTATCAACATACGCCCCTTCTCCAGGAGAACCTCCCCCCCTCAACAAAGTATAAGAACTATTTTATTTTATACCACATAAACAACCGTATAATATAGATACTGTTGAAGATTGAAATCAATTTACTGTTCAAAAAAAAAAAATTATCGTCTGACGAAAAAAAAAATACAAATATTGTAGATAAACCAATACAAATAATACAGGGTGTATCTTATGTCATTGTACGTGGGGTTTTTTGACGATTACGGAACGATGATATGGAATTTCATTAAAACGAAAAAAGACGTGTTTCTTTATTTTTAACAAGCAATTTTTTTATAACAATTTCAAAATTTTTAAACACGCAGGTGTACCAATAGCAAAATCAACTTTTTTTTTTCAAATGGTAACCATTATATTTTTTAATGGATTCTGGTAAAGCTTTTTTTTCTAAACATTTTGGTAGTCGAATCGTCAATTTTGATTCGCTAGTTTATTAACTATGGTCCTCCAAAGATTAGTAAAATATGCATTAATACTTTTAATTAAAATAATGGGTATAGGTTTAATTTACAAGCGCTAAACAAATTTTTCTTATAACTACCATTTGATAAACTACAATAGTTGAATCGGTAATCTAATGCACCCTTAAAAAAAAAAAAAAAAATAACAAACATAATTGTTTGTAAACATACTTCATTATTTTTATTTTAACATACAATCATAAAAATCAATATTATTATTTTAATATCCAAAACTAAAAAATAAAAAACTACCTGATTTGGTTTTTTACCTAAGAAAAAAAAATTTGTCAATTAAAAGTATATGTAATTAATAATGCAATGAAGTCATGAATCAATTAATAGTCGTTTTTAAAACAATAATTCGATAAACATTATATTAAGTACACCCCCCTGTGTAAATGGATTTCCAAATATTTTTAACTTGACAATATTCTTGAAGTCCAAAATACAAAATGATCATACATAATATTTTAAGAAGACAATAATTGAAAACCGATTTATTTTTTTAAACATTGAAAAACATACAATAACAAGAAGAACAATTTATATCACGAAATTCAAAATTTAAACAGTGCTATATAATGATATGTTAACATGATTTATGCTTTTTTAATATGGCCTTTGGATCATAGATCTTTGATCAATTCTATCTGTTTGCCATGTGTGTCAGCTTGTGTACATCGCAGGCGTACGGTTTTTCACCAGTGTGTGTGCGTCGATGTGTTGTCAAATTTCCACTTTGTGAGAATGACTTGTCGCATATATCGCAGGAGTACGGTTTTTCACCAGTGTGTGTGCGTCGATGTTTCGTCAAACTATCGCTCACAGAGAATGACTTGTCACATATATCGCAGGCGTACGGTTTTTCACCAGTGTGTGTGCGTACATGTTTCGTCAAATGGTCGCTCACAGAGAATGACTTGTCGCATATATCGCAAGCGTATGGTTTTTCGCCTGTGTGTGTGCGTACATGTTTCGTCAAATGTCCACGTTCAGAAAACGACTTGTCGCATACATCGCAAGCGTATGGTTTTTCGCCAGTGTGTGTGCGTCGATGTGTTGTCAAATTGAAACTTTGAGAGAATGACTTGTCACATATATCGCAAGCGTATGGTTTTTCGCCTGTGTGTGTGCGTACATGTTTCGTCAAATGTCCACGTTCAGAAAACGACTTGTCGCATACATCGCAGGCGTACGGTTTTTCACCAGTGTGTGTGCGTACATGTTTCGTCAAATGGTCGCTCATAGAGAATGACTTGTCGCATATATCGCAAGCGTATGGTTTTTCGCCTGTGTGTGTGCGTACATGTTTCGTCAAATGTCCACGTTCAGAAAACGACTTGTCGCATACATCGCAAGCGTATGGTTTTTCGCCAGTGTGTGTGCGTCGATGTGTTGTCAAATTGAAACTTTGAGAGAATGACTTGTCACATATATCGCAAGCGTATGGTTTTTCGCCTGTGTGTGTGCGTACATGTTTCGTCAAATGTCCACGATCAGAAAACGACTTGTCGCATACATCGCAAGCGTATGGTTTTTCGCCAGTGTGTGTGCGTACATGTTTCGTCAAACTATCGCTCACAGAGAATGACTTGTCGCATGTATCGCAGGAGTACGGTTTTTCACCAGTGTGTGTGCGTACATGTTTCGTCAAAGTATTGCTCGCAGAGAATGACTTGTCGCATATATCGCAGGCGTACGGTTTTTCACCAGTGTGTGTGCGTCGATGTGTTGTCAAATTGCCACTTACACTGAAACACTTGTCACATACATCGCACTTGTACGATTTATTCTCCATTTGTCCGCTTTTGTGTCGTCGGTCTTCTTTAATTATTAAATAATTTATTTAACAAGTAACTGTATTTCATACAGTAGTTATTTGGTTACTATACTATTTTGTTTATGATCGATTAGAATTTATTGACTTCACCATACTTTTTAAGCCAGTATTAATTTGTTGTATTACTTTTTAAACTTTAAATAAAGTATATAATGCTGAATATAACATGACAATTATTATTATAAAAACATTAATTAATTAATTTTTTTCGTATTTTTCTGTGGTTTTTCCAAGTGGCTTTAAATAAGTATTGAGAAAATTGAAAAATTACTTCTTTAAAGTACCATCTTGATCCAATTTACTAAAAGATAAGATACTTTCTATTGAAATCAAAGTACTCCTTCTGGTATAAATTTTGTATAAAAAAAAAAATAAACACCATTGTAAAACCATTAGATCCCTTAACTCCGCTCAGAATCTAAAATGTTTAAAAATAAAATAAATAAGATTTAGAAAGAAATATTTTGAAAACAATATAAATGTTATTTGCCATGTGATATAAGAGGATGCTAAACATTTCACTCAAGACGCCAAAAATCCTTTTTTTTCTTTGAAGGATACAAATGGGAAATATAATAGTGTTTTAGAACTTAGGTGGCCTTTATGTTTTTTTCGTTTTCGGTTCCAATTCGGTTCTTCAAAAAAATTAAAATTTGGTACCGATTTCGGTTCC